TGACTTAACAACTTATCACCCAGGCATCTGTCCAAATAAAAAAACAAAATGATAAAAGTTAAGAAACAGAACATAGGGAATCAACATGAATTTTCGAATAACAATTTAGCCATGAACGTTAACTTAGCTCTACAAATTTGACTATATAAATCATTATAAATGCTTTTAAAATCAAGTAAATGACACGTTGCTAAATAAGTTCCTTTCTCCCTTCTCACCTTTCAGGAAGAGCTACTCTGCATTCGCTACCTTTAGCAATAGGGGTCTGCTTATTCATACGTCAAACAAAAGTGTTGGACTGACTCTGTGGCCTCCCAAGTCCCTCTTAGCCCCAGAACATTGAGCCCTGAGAAAGGACAAAAAGGGCCATCAGGAAGAAGCAGATTTCAATCACTAAGGAAACCCTTAGTAAGCCACTAAAACATATTCCCTATATAAATATAAAATTAAAATTTGCTGGGAGATCTCTTCCTGCAGAAGAAGTACTAAGTGCTGAATTCCTATATTAAGTCACATGCACAGAGATCACTGTATTCTGTGGTCTCTAAATACTTTAGATTCAACATTACCGACAGTGGAAAAGTACCGTACATGCAAATCTAAATATACAGCTATTTATGAATTAGAAATGTATTATGCTCTAATATATTGTATCATAAACATTGAGACATATAAAAAGTAAGGAGTGGGATTTAGAAATGCATAGAAGTAGGAGTTGTCCTATTTTCTTCTCATCATAGAAAGTCTGCCTTTCTTGTTTATTCCCTGGGGACAAGCACTATTTCAGAGTTCTGGTCTAAACCACCACATCATCACTGGGTGTTCTTGAGATGCTCCCAATAACTACGCCAACATTAAGAAATATGTGTACATCACAACCTGTATCCTAAACGTTTATAAATCACTTTCCAAAATACGTTCTTATCTTTTAATAACGCCACAGTTTAAAGAACATGGTATTTAAGTTGGCTTCAGAGATGTTCCTTGTAACAATGTAATTGAACCCTAATCCTATTCGGAACAGGTTTTGCAGGGTCTGAGAAGAGCATCAAATACTGAGTGTGCATTCAGAGACGTACATCTTTTTTTTTCTTTTGAGATTTTTAACCCGATAGAAAGAAGAGAAGGCTCAAGTTAGAGCAATGTCTCTTGCTTTTCCCTGGCAAAAATAGCAAAATTAGATGAGAACTCTATCCGTAGTGACATCTAATAGCAAGAGGGAAGGTTCTAAAAAGTAAATAACTGATAATTCCCAGATGGGGACCTCGCCTTAGCTCAATAGCTAATTTTACAGTGACAAGGTGCCAAGAAGCAAAGGCTAATTTTGTGTACTCTAATGGACCATATGAGGCAATTATTTTCTAAGATCCTTTTAAAAAAAATCCTCACCCGTTTTATTTTTCCAAAGACTTTTGCAAATGGGCACACATTTGCTACCCCGCCTTTGCCCCATCTGCCCCCTCATCCACATCTCATTCCAAAAAACACTCCCTGGGCACCAGAACAGAGCATGTAATGACTATAGTACTAGGAACTGGGTTCTACAGCTTTGCAAAGACCAACACAGCCATAAAACACAATACATAAATTAAGGAGACAAAGATGAATGGACAAAACTAATGTTAATCTGCCTCCTCTCTAATTTATCTTACTTAGCATTTGTCATTTTAGTCATATCAAATTCCTATGCTAATT